CTGGAGGTTTAGCTATGCTGGTTCTCACTTGACAGAAAATAACAACGACAACAACAACATACACATGCAGAAGCTGGCCAATGAATAAGTAATATCGAAGAGGAATTGATGCCTTTGAATTATGGTGCTTCATGAGAATATTGTATACATCCTGGACTTCCAGAAGAACAAACCAGTTTTTGGAAGAAGTACGAGAATGCTCTTTGGAAGTGAGGGGTCATGACACCTCTCATGTGTGTTGGGCATGTTATCAGGAGGGACCACTCACAGGAGAAAGACAACATGCTTGATAAAGTAGAAGTTTGGTGAAAAAGAGGAAGACCCTTTACAAGATGAACTGACTTAATAGTGGCTGCAAGAATGGGCTCAAACATAGCAATAGCTGTTATCATGGGACAGGACGAGGTAGTGTTTTGTTCCACTATACACTGCTGTTGTGTATATAGGTCCATTATAAGTTGAAACATTCTCAGCAGCATCTAAGAACAACAATAACAAGTTAATTAAGCATGTTATTTCACCCTCCTAGTAGCTCTATTACTATTCCTATTTTCTCAATGTGGAAACCTAGTTAGTGGTATTGTATAACTTGATCATGATCCACAAAGTTGTTAAATAATGGAGCCAGGATTTAATATGGGATTCCAGAGCTAAAAAAACACATCTCAATTCTGTGCCATGGAGAACTAATAGTCTAATTTTGCATTTGTTCCAAGCTCAAAGTATTCACTTATAGAAATAATTTTCTCATCCCAAGCCTCAGTTTCCCAGCCATTAAAAAAAAACAAACTTGGTTCATTTGAGTTCCAAGTGTCTCTCTGAGTAAATAAATGAGTAGATATTTGAACAAAAAAGAACTTGAGCACATGGCTGATGGACAGCACATTCCGAATTCATTTTTTATTTGTGGTCTAGTTTTGCAACTGTCTAAACCAGACAGTAGTTCTTAGCTGCCCAAAGAATAAACTCTAAACACGACTACACAACCTAGGAAAGTCTGGAGGAGCTGGTCTCTGCCAAGGTCATCTGTCTGTCACCCATTTTCTTCACTAGCCACTTCATACAACTGGTGACTTATGCTTTCTTCTGTGTAGTTAGGAATAGATTCTTTCTCTGGCTCCCTCATACACATGGAAAAAAAATCTCATCTTGAAGACTTAGCTTTGCCCTTACATTCTCTTTGAAGATGATCTGGCTATAAATTGATTAGGTACCAACTTTGCATATTTCCCTGGTGCCCTGTATGTTCTCCATCCCATCACTCAGCCCCTGAATTACAAACTATTAACATTTTTGACACTGTCTCCTACTGGTGGCATGCAAAAGTTTGAAAGACCCAATTTCATATCTATCATGAGAATCTAAAACATGAAGGATATCTAATAATGACGATGATGATGATGGTGGTGGTAGTGATGATTTTAGTGGTAGTCGCTGTTCCTGTTACTTCTTATGCTTGTGAGATTGGACAAAAACCGAAGAATTACTGATGCCTTAGAGTTGTGGTATTGGCAAAGAATATTGAATGTACCGGGGACTTCCAAAAGAACAAACAAATCTGTCTTGAAACAAGTATAGTTAAAGTGCCCATGAGAAGCAAGTATGGGCACGTTACTGAAGGGGCCAGTCATCATGTGTGGAAAAGGTGGTAGAGGGTCAATGAAAGAAAGGAGGCCTTCAGTGAGATGCATTGGCACCGTGGCTGCAGAAATATCTGTAAGGAGAACAGAGGTTTGGCACAGCATCGGCAACATTTCATTCTGCTGCACCTACTACAGCATCTAACAACAACCAGCTATGTACCTGCCTTTATGTACAATTAGGGGGCCTCCTTTGATCCTTATGCTTGTCACATGTCTTGTAATTTTCCATTTGTTTGTCATTCCACCAAACCAAGAATGTTGTCAATTTATAAATGCTCAGTCAATGAGCAGTGGGCCACTTTATCTCCTTTGACCACACACTCATTCTATTTTCTCCACGGATGCAGAACTAGTAAGGAACAGAACAAGAAGTCACAATAAGAACGGGGATACATAACAGCCTTGGGTTCCTCTCATGGTGGCATTTGCCAGGGAGGAGTGTAGGTCGAGCAGCAACTCAAGCGTGATTATGAAAGCTGGGAATTTTTGGCACATCAGGAAATGTTCCACCCAAGTGTTGAATTATACAAAGAGGACTTTTTTGAAAGGCACCCCATAAATCATTCCTACAAAACATACACACACAAGGCCATTCCTTTAGCAACCACCATGCAGGTTCCTAATACAATCTCCTATTTGTGGGGTCTGTTGTTATAAAACAGAGGGCCATGGAGAGGACAGACGGAATAACTTTCTCATTTAGCCTTTAGGATTTCTGAACATCCTGAAGGTGCTGGGATGTACAGAAGATGAGGTTCTACATGGAGACACACATGCCCCTCCCTTGGATGCTGAAATGGACTTGTAGATGAGCTGGGAAAAAGATATTCCTGGTCCATCTCTCAGCTTCGGTTTCCACATCCTCAATAGGAGTAAGATATAGTAGGTGACAGATTCTCATCCAAGAATTGCTTTTCTCCAAATAGAGTCACTAGGGGATGTCTGGAGTCATTGGTATCTTCATATGGATGTGAAGGATTCTGTTGGCATTTAGTAGATTGTCAATATCAAGGATGCTCCTACACACATTAACTATCCAGTGCTGCTGCTGAGAAGCCCCAAAGTGGAGGAACCCCTAGATCCTTGCGAGCTTTCCCTTCCTATGCAGCCATGGGTTCTGCTGCTGATGTCTCTCCATTGCTAGATAAAGAGCTCCGGATAAATTCCTATTGGTGACTTGCACTCAAGAGTAATTCTTGCTAAGAGTAGTAGTCAGTATAGATTTAACTCTGGTAAATTGTTATGAAAATTCTTTAGATTAGGAGGTGATTTACTTAGCCAGTGTTTCTCTAAGAGAATTAGCACAAATTGATGGTTTTAATGAACAGGAACTTATTTTCCCGTAGTTTTGAAGGCCAGCAGTCTGAACCCAAGGCATGGATTCTAGGGGCAGGTTTTTTGTCCGCTCTAGGGATAAACCCTTGTCTCAGCAGCTTTAGTCACAACATTCCTTGGCTCCTCGGCAATCTGCACATACTAGTATCTTTCCCTCATTTTTATTTTCTTTCTTCAGACCTAATCTGCTCTTTCAATGTCTAAAAAATGTTCTGTTTAAGATATACCTTATATCTATGTAAGGAGCTCTGGTAGACTAGTGGTAAGGAATTATGCTGCCAACCCAAGGGCACGCAGTTCAAATCTACCAGCTGCTATATGATTTTAGGGACATGTCTATGCAGGTTTGGACTGAAATGAAAGCATGAAGGGCAAGATGTCCACATTCCTTGACTGGAAGGGGAAAGTGTGAGAGTCTTAGAGAAACAAGAAAGCCAAATAATTAAGAGTGACCTTGTGAAAGTCTATACTTAAATTCAGTCGCCACCTCTAGTACTTAACTGATATCTGACCTTGATCAAGTAATGTTTTAGCTCTGAGGCCTGAGTTCCTTACCTATAAAATAAAGGTAAAAATGATATGTCAGATAAGGGACTTATATCTAGAATTTATAAATTACTTGAGCACCACAACAAGATAAAGGTAAATAATCCAATTGAGAAATGGGCACAGGATATGAACAGACACTTCACCAAGGAAGACATTCAGATGGCCAAACAAGCACATGAAGAAATGTTCAAAATCCCTAGCTCTGAGAGAGATGCAAATCAAGACAACTATGAGATATCATCTCACCCCAGTAAGACTAGCAAAATTTAACAGAACAGCAAGCAACAAATGCTGG